GGTGGTGCTGGTTTCTTCTGGCGAGAAGTAGCAATGGTATAGGTATTGCCACTGGATTATATTAGAAGTATTGTCATTAAATGTGATCTGGAATAATCCAACAAGTTTTGCCGAATTTCCCATTATTCTTGTCTGGCAATAGGGTAGCTCGTTCAGCAACATGCCCAGAACATACTAGAACTCTGATCTTGTGTCTGGTCATGGGCACATGCCGCATCTTTAACCGCCAGGAAGGAACTAGGTACTACTCTTGTGCCTACTCTGTGCCGACTTGTAAAGGCGCATAGGCAGGTTACGTCTGAGGTTGCCAACCACCACTGAATTGTAGCTGACTTACCAGAAATCCTGAGTGCAGAGCTGATCTTCTCTTGTTCTTAGGTGTGTATTAGGCTAAAAAGTATTGTCCGTGGGACAGATGTAAAGCTCTACCAGCCCTGCATTAAATACATCAACTTCCTATCAGTACTTACCACAGACTGATATTTATGGATGAGGAGAAAGATACCTGTCAGTTGTGACTGGTTGTTTCTCGTCACATGACGTGGTGTTGTTGCATCCCAAAAGTTGAATTCTGTTTATCTTAGAGCGCAGCTGTCGCGCCCTGAAAAATAGGCGCTCGGGAATGCTTGTGCGTCGTGATGGCATTGCTCTGGCAGTGTATTTAGGCCGCGCAAACCACAGCACTCGTACGGGCCCTAACTAATGCTTTTCTGGATCTTGGATAAATACGTTGAGACATTCTCTATTTATTTCCTCACTCCCTCTTCCACCCTGTCAAATGAAGGACAGAAAACAAGCCGGAGCTTACAAACCCCACAGAAGAGATTCAAGGTTGTTCGTTCTTATGATGTAATGTTTGGGGAGGGGGAAGAGGATAGCTCCATGTAATAGATGCTATCCTCCAGAGTGGGATCCTCACATCATAGCGGAGGTCTCATTTACTTTGGCAGAGACATGCTCAAGTCAAGTCATCTTCTCTGGAAGAGGATATAGCACGCCTAACACACACACATACATACATATATACAGACACATACACACACCTGGGTTTGATTTTGAGCCCCTGTGTGTGTTTGTGTTCGGACCCCTCCCAAAGACGGCTTAAAAGCAGAGCGCAATCACTCGCAGTCTCCTTAGATTTATCCCAGTTTGCATCATATTGGTGGACATGAAAGTGCATAAAGGGATAAGACATAAATCCCGCAGCTCTCACAGACATCTGCTTACAAAGACTGAGTATTATCCACACACACACATTCACGCAGAGATACACAAAACGTGTTCACACACAGGATAGCAAGTGGAACATTGTCCATGTTCATTAACACACACACTTGCTCACTCAGTGTATACGGGGATATGTACAGTAATACACACCTACTGTGCCCTCCATTCTCAGGCCACTTGTTCTGTTAGATGCCAATTTTGCCAGAGCAGCTTACTTTTCAGGGTAACAGAAAATCAAATATGCCACAATGAAATGTCATTTTCTCAGCAAGTTGAGAAACTCTTGAAGCAACAAGATTGGGTAGGTGCAATCCAGAGTGTGTACTTAAGTCTGCTCAATTTACATTTGTTCCATCTTTTTGAGTTTCAGATGGCAGATCATGAAGTGGTAGGAAGAATACAAGATATTGTACACTCTGTGTGCTCTGTATATTTGATTAAATCAGGGTTTTTCGGCTCCAAATTGATTTTGTTACGTCCTTAACAAGGCTACATAGCTGTTTGCCACTATTGTGTTGCAACTCTACACTTGTAATCCTATTGTACATTTTCTCAGAGAGGAAAGACAAACAACTCTGTCCTCCAGAAATTATGTTTAATTTGTTTGGCCAAATACATTTTTTGGAGGAAATGTAATTGTTGCCTGGATTATGTTCACTGAGGATGTTTTTTTTCTCTCTCTCTTTTAAGGAAGTACTTTGGTCTTGTACAAAGTGCAGGGCTTTGGCACCAGAAACCAGGGTTTGCATTCAGGCTTCCACATTTAGTTATTCTAAACACCAAACCACTTTGGTTAAGGTTAGGAAGCGATTTTGGTTTTTGGGCAAATATAGACAAAAATAAACACACCACTGCTTCGAGTCAGCATTAAGATTTTAAATGTCTAACCGAGACAATCCTGTCCAAGAGAAAAAAGACAAGATCTTTCTCTCATCATAGCAAAGTGCTTTGAGTGTCTAAACATAATTATAAAGACGTTTATCATGCTCTGTGCGTGAATGCTAAAAACAGATGAACAGGGAAAACAAAAGTTTGACGAATTTACAGATACTTTCATTAAGATATTTCCTCATTAAAAAAGTAATTTGTGCAACGTTATGTTTCTCCTCAAACTTATTTTATGCTGTTGAAGGGACAGTTCACCCCACAATCAAAAATACATATTTTTATCCAGTTGTAGTGGTGTTTTTTCAATCTAGATTGTTTTGGTGTTGGAGGTATTGGCTTTAGAGATATCTACCATCTCTCCAATATAATGGAACTAGATGGCACTCAATTTGTGGTGCTCAAAGTGCTTTCCAGAAATCATGACCCGGTTACTCAAGATGATTCACAGACCTTGTTGAGAGCATACAGTCTATGGTTGAGGGCAGTTTCATGCATCCTTTTTTTTTTCTACAAAACTACACCTGATACAACTGTATCACCGCACAGAGGGAAGCACGCATTTACTTATGGACGAGAGGTTTGTGCTTGTGACATGTAAACATCTCCCTCGCCTGAGCCGAAATGCTTTGAGTCAGCTCAATAGTGCTACGTGAGGAGGGCATCAGGAAATGCACACTTCCTTCTGCATGGTGATATGGATGGCAGGTGTAGTTCAGTAGAAAGAAAATAGTTCCTACATGAAAGTCCTAACAACAAGGTCTGTGGATTATCTTGAGTAACTGGGTCATGATTTCTGGGAAGAGACATTGCTGTTGAGTTTAGCATTTAAAAAAAAATATATAAAAAAATTGTGTGTGTGTGTGTGTGTGTGTGTTTGTGATTTGAGCACCTAGATTGATAAATAGCACTCCAGGTGAGGGTTTGGGGTGAATTGTCCCTTTAATTAGTTATGTATAAATGCAGTTTCGAGAGGACAGATTTGTAACAACATATGCCGTATTCTGTCAACACATTCTCACTCCAACCTCGTCACATATCAACGTTCAGTCATGGACCTAGATACAACGTGAAAGGTACCCTAGGTGTGTTGGTTGTTGCCGTTCAGGGATGCCGTGTCAAATTCTGCCTGTTACATGCATTGTCTTCCTTCAAAATACACTTCTGTTTTCACAGAAAATTAACCATTTACATACTGTCTCTTTTAAATTAAACTATGTCAGTGCAACAATGCAATTGTTTTTCCACCAACAACTAACGTACGTGGTTGGGTTTAGGAACAAAGAACATGGTTTGGCTTTGTAATCTTACGGGACACGAACACAGCTTTCCAGGGTGAAAGTTGATGTTTATTTGACCCACCCCGCCCACAGTTCTCGGACTTTCGCCACCTTAACTTTCGTTCTTGTCCTGCTATGTTTCCCTCCTGACGACTTCAGAGCGAAACAGGGTTGATTCCGTAATGTTCTCACATCATGGTTCTACAGAACAGGGTTGGAGTATCAACAACCTCACTAAAATGTGGCCTTTTTCATGGACAGAATTTAAATCTGTATATTTCTGTATTTTTCAAGCAGGTAATAATTTTTTAGCAGCAACAATGCTTAACATCTGCACAAAAAAAAAAAAGTTAGACTCCCAGTTGTGCTGCTTTCTATTCTGACAGAAAGACATTGCTTAACTATGACAGAAACTATATATAAGGCTGAAGCAGATTAGGATGCTTTCTTTTCTTTACCCTCATGTAAGTACATTGTCTTATCAAACATGATGTCAGCAGATTCACTAATCACATTGGCAGCTCTTGTCTTCCCTCCGCTTTCTGTTGTGTCAAGCTCTATCATCAAATCTTTCCTGCATGTCGTCACATCATTACTTCTACATGACTTTTATGTCAAGCTCTAAAACTCTTGAGTAAAGTGAGGTGAAATGTTAAGTTTAGCTTCACCTCTTCATATTTAGCCCCTCTAAGTTGTGTCCACTTTCCCCTGTTATTGTTAGACCTATAGAGAGCTGGGACTGCACTCTGATGAATGAGGTGACGCCAAGGCAAGCATGACTGGGGAGACTAAACACCAATGGAATCTCTCCCTTCAATTTTCATCTCACTTTATCTCTCCCTCCCTCTTCCTGTTGCTTTTTTTTTTATCAGCGCTATGTCTTTTACTTTCTCTACCTCCCTTCGTCTCTGTCTCTCTCTCTCAGGGGTGTTTCATTAACTTTACTGTGAGATGAAAAGCAAGTGGCTATACTTCAGCCTGAGAGCTCCTTGAACACCACACACTCATAGATATGCTTTACACCCACACAGCCGCACTCACACACACACACACACACACACAGGCATACAAAAACATGTAATAGAGAACCTAGACTTTCTTAGCTCGTCATTAATTTCTGTGTTGAGGCTGAAAGCACCTGCTGTGTCCGCCTGCTATGGGGCTTTAAACACTTCACATGAGCCTTATGTGAATGCATATGTGTGTGTGGGTTTATGTTTCCATTAATGCTTGTGTGAAAGGAGCGATAATTCAGTTTCCACTTACCCAGAAAAGCGTTTCTCTTTCTCTGTGTCTCTCTCTGAAGAAAGCACTGCTCATTCAGGCATACATCCATTCTGAATTTTCACGGAATGAAGAAGAAAAAAAACAAAACAGAAAAAGCATCCATTTACACACTTAGGCCCATTCATTCTAATGACTGTCATTTTAACCACAATGAGCCCAGTGTTTCAGGTGTTTGCCCATTCATCATCGCTCCGATTCAGTGTTGATTTGCCTGGACAGCGAAGCCAAAGCGCATGATCAATGAGTCTTCCCGCTGTGTTGAATTCAAAAGGAATGACCCCGCTTTCTTTTTTCTCCTCTCCTCTCATTGCTTTCTCCCAGTGGAGGGAAAATGTAAGATAGACACGAACGTTCCTGGTATACACTCACATCTGTCTATACTTCGTAGCTTCTTTTGTTTCATAGTGGATTCAGCACGTTTCCTTTAGTAGCTGTAGTACTGTGATGCAAATAACCAAGACTTGCAGCTTGAAAGTCCTCACTTGTAGAGAAAAAAAAAAAACATGTTAGTAAAAGGGTGGAAAAAAACACTATAAGATTTTTGCTAAAATTTAACAGCAATTAAGCAGCTTCACGTGAAGTTAATAGGACTGAGATGAGAAATCACACTTTGTGGTTGTTTTTTTTCTCTGAGATATTTTCACAGTGCTCTAATCGAGAAAATTTGGCTAAGACAGCAAGTTTGCTTTTAATTAATTTGAGTAATTTACAAGAGATCTGGTAGTGTGATTTTTCACCCTTAAGTGTTTATTAGATGCTTAGTATTCAGCAAGAGTGAATCTGAATCTAAATAATTCATCTGCAAATGCTTACAGGGTGGAGATAACTTTTTTCTCTGCTATCTACCCCTCCTTTCCCCTTTTCTTCCTTCTTCTCTGACTCCAAATTCCCTTGTTCCTACCCTCTGCTTCAACTTTCCTCCAATGTCTTTGCTCCTTTTTTCTTTCTCTTTTTCTTTCTTTTCCCTCTTTCCCCTCGCTTTCTGTCTCCTTTCTTTGCCCTTTTATCTTCACATCTTTATACCTTATATCACTTTCTTCTTTTTTACCTTCCCTTATAACTGTCTTCTTCCTCTACCTCTCCCTCCTTCCCTTTTCACCTTGAATTTGCCCCCTTTTTTCTCTTTGCATGTGGTTCTCTCTCTCGTTTGTTGGTCCTTTCTCGTCTCCCTCTGTTTCTCTCCTCCACCTCTCCTTCTCTCCATCTTTTTCAGTGGGAGGAGATCAGTGGGGTGGATGAGCACTACACTCCCATCCGGACCTTCCAGGTCTGCAATGTGATGGAGTACAGCCAGAACAACTGGCTCCGCACCAACTGGATCCCTCGCCAGTCAGCCCAGAAGATCTACGTGGAACTGAAGTTCACCCTCAGGGACTGCAACTCCATCCCACTGGTGTTAGGCACCTGCAAGGAGACCTTCAACCTCCTCTACCTGGAGACAGACGACGACCAGGGTAGCCACTTCAGAGAACACCAGTTCACTAAGATCGACACCATCGCTGCTGATGAGAGTTTCACCCAAATGGACCTCGGAGATCGCATCCTCAAGCTCAACACTGAGGTGCGCGAGGTGGGTCCCATGACCAAGAAGGGCTTCTACCTGGCGTTCCAGGACGTGGGCGCCTGTGTAGCTTTAGTTTCAGTGAGGGTTTACTTCAAGAAGTGCCCGCACACTGTGAGGAATCTGGCCTCCTTCCCTGATACGGTGCCCATGGACTCCCAGTCGCTGGTGGAGGTCAAAGGCTCATGTGTCAATCACTCCAAAGAGGAGGAGCCACCGCGAATGTACTGCAGCACGGAGGGGGAGTGGCTTGTGCCTATTGGGAAGTGTCTTTGTAACCCCGGGTACGAGGAGAGAAGCAACACCTGCCAAAGTAAGACAGCTCTTCTTTCAGTCCTACGTTTTTGTCTCTCTCATCCTGTCTTTGTCATGTTTTCCAAAGCTGCAAAGTGTGCAAAGTGTGTGATGAGAAGACTGTCACACTTCATATCTGTCAGCCCTGAACCTTTAATGCCTGATGCCCACCCTTTGTCTATACATGTGTGTATGTGGAATACCTTCAAAAGAACCCCAAAATCCCACAGTGTTGCTGGACAGTTGAACGTGCGTATTTCCATGCATGTGTATGTGTTCTCCAGGTCTTTGAGCTACATGCTGCACTGCGCAGTAGTTCAATAGTAATCTTCTGTGTGACACATCATTAGCTATGGGAAGATCTTAACCAGAGTAGCAGGGATGGGACTGATAACCCAGAAGAAAGGAGTGGGCTGGAGTGGATGGTGAATAATGGAATAGTTGTGGTGATGGCTGCGGGTGTTGGCGGAGTCATGAGTGGGTAGACACTGGAGTCTGGAGATACTCGATCTCACCCCGAAAATCCGTTGCCGCCTTGGAGGTGGTTGCAAGAAAGCCAGAAGGTTTGGCTGCCTGGCTTTGCCTTTCATTTTCAGACTGTCTGCAACATCATCATCACATATGCTTTTGCTCTGATTTGAGTTATTGCCAGTCGGATACTGGAAAGAGTTAAAATGTGTTAACGAAAGAAACACTTTCGCTGGCAGATGCAACTATTTCCCAACTTGTTTATTGATTGTAAATGTCCTCTGATTGTCCTTGTTCATCTTCATTTCCCTTTACTTCACCTTATCTACTTAGACATTAAGTAAATGATGCCCCATGGCAACTTTTACACCCCTTTTGGGATTAGGCGACCGGTGAGTTCAAAGGTTAAGTGTCTCAATGAGCCCTTTCATCTCAGCACATAACAAATTTCAGTTCTGAGTTCTAAACTTCCCAGAAGCACATTTAGTTTTTTACATTTTCTTTCTGAAAGGCTGCATGTATGCACTCAGACATAACATAACTAGATAATTTTGCAAAATTTAATTTCCTGTGTGTGGCTTCTGTGGCCAGTGTAACATCTTTCATCAATTACAGTTGCAGTACTTCATCAGTGTTTCTCTGCAGCAGGATGCTTCACATCTGCACAGTAGCTTATCGAGTGCAGCAGACCCATATTTTATGTGCAAGAGGAGATAATGTATTTCAATACCATTGTTTATAATGTAAAATAACAATAGAAGTGGTCGTTGCTTACTTCAGACTTCACTGGTTTATGTCTCTGTGTATTTTTGTTTGACCATGCCAAAGAGAAAAAAAGACTGCTGACTCCCCACTTTCCCTTTGTTGTGGCTGGTTTCTGTGGTCCATATCATACTAGATGTGCTCCTCTTTTTTCACTTTCAGCAAGCTCCTCACTCTGCTTAAGAAGCCAGACACAGAGTATCTATTTGAAAGCAGCCACCTCTGCACTGCGGCTGTTCCACCATGACTTTAAAGTTAAGAAAGAAAAAAAAAAGTGTTGGAAGTTGGAGGAAAAAGCAGTTTGTCTTTAGTTCTCTTACTCATTGTGGCTGGCCCTAAATGCTCCCATGTTCATCAACTCTCTGCTCTCTAGAGCCGTGCCCAGTGTTAATTAAAGATCAAAGGCGGTCTCCCCAGGTCAAGCCCCCGCTGTCAGGGCCAAGGGAAGCTCTTTTTCTGGGGCTGTGGACTGCAGACGAGCATGTCTCGCTGTCCAGATGCAGGGAGAAACTTTGTTGCAGCTGTCAGACGAAAACCTCGTATGTGCAAAACGTAAACAGACTGGGGAAGTTGTAAAATTGTGGGCAAAAAGATGACAGCAAAAACAAGGCTAAGCATGAGAAGAAGACTTAAGAGGTCTTTAGAATAGTTCTTACTTGGATGTGTCCCATGCCTACATACATTTAAAACCTTTATCCAATTAATATGTATAAATTAAAGGGAAAATAAACTAGTTTTTCGCAACATTGTCAGCAAATTCTATCCACCAATTTTGCCTTCCTCACAAATTTGAAAAGACAAAAGCTGCAGATACAAGAATGCGACATTACATCAACAAATGGCAGACCCCTGTCCCCCTCCGTACCACCCTCCTTTCACTTCCTGTCTCTGTGTATTGTGTGAATGTTTGGATGTATTTGACAATCTCTTATTAGTTTCAGAGAGGTCTAATGGACTCTAATAAGGTCTTATGTTACTCTGGAGTGGGACAGCTGCACCAACAGGCCCCCACAGCCCCCGCGTGCAGCCGTCAGGGGCCCCAGCACACAGCTCGCTCTCCAGGCCCTCTGTGTTAACAGATAGATGAGTGCATGGTGTTAGGTCACCGTACAGACTGATAGCGAACAAGATGAAAACATATTTACAGGGCTGCAGCCAGATAAAACACAATGAAACAGATGTCAGAATCACTTGGTCATATTTTGTTCCATGATTCCATAGAGAAGATTGTTGTTTTGTTATCAAATACATGGGGAGGAAACATAGATTCTATAATTGGATACCCTTCCCTACATCAAACAAACAAAATTTAGCTAACACCACAAACAAATAATCTTGTAATTAAACACACAGGCTGTCAGACAGCAGCGGTTAGATAGATTCAAGGTGTTTGGATTGAGTGTTGCTGGCTTTGACTGTTAGCTCTGAGTCAGATGTGGATGGAGCACCTCCACTGAATATTTCATGCTTTGCTTTCTTTGACCGAACACCTTGAAGCAGCATCTTCCACTTAGCTCAGTCTCTGTTCCATGAGTGTGTGTGTGTGTGTGAGTGAGAGAGGAAGTGCGAGAGAGTATGAGAGCAGTTGCCTTTGTTTACACAGACGCCAAAGTGTGTTTAAGGGCTTTAACAGAATACACTCTAGTATTAGATTGTCATTATCTTGCTTGGCTGTGTGTGTGTGTGTGTGTGTGTGTGTGTGTGTTTGTGTGTACAGCCAGAAATGTTTATGAAAGCGAGGATGTTTTTCCAGTGGCGCCTTCAAAAGAACACATGAATTCCGTCTGGCCTTGGCAATGGGACGCCGTGTGGGAGCTGCTGTTATGACAGCGTGTGTGCACGTATGCGTGTGTGTGGCTGCGTTACATATCTAGCAGGGTGCTGTGTATATTGCTGTGAGCATATTTTGATATTTCATCATCCATATCAGAGCAGATGTCATCGGATCTTTTGTCAGGCAGCGACACGGTGAGTGGATGTGGCGTTTTTTCAGACTGTACGATGGAATGGACGCATCAGTCATCGTCTGGATTACCGTGTGTTTTGTGAGCGAGCTTCGGCCTTTCCACAGAGAATGTGAGGCCAGATCTAATCTCGCTAAGTCAGTCTTTCATCTGTCATTAGAACAGACTGGAGCAGGTGAACTAACTCCTATCTACCATCAGTGCGAAATTCCTGCAACCCTAATTTGATCCTAAAACAGCAAACGGATGTCTGTCTGTCGAGTTTCAGTGTGTGTGTGTGTGTGTGTGTGTGTGTGTGTGTGCTGCAAATGCAAGCAGCTGTTCTGCTGTACGTTGCAAGGATACCCAGGTTTACATTCTTACCGGATTTATCAAGACACACAATCCTCAAACTTGCCAGTACCATAATGCTTATTATAATTACACATATACAGTAAATCCATATACATAGACACAGCGACACATACACTCAAGCCTACTTAAGCCTGAGTTGCAGGTTTTGCCTGGATTAGTTACCATATCTTATTATAAGTGAAAGAAGTGAGAAAGGCACAAAAACGAGTAATAATTTTGCCAAATTTTAACGCACTATAACCTAAAGATTTTTTGCATTTCTAACAGATAATTTTGCCCCATATGTAAATGTTCTAAAATGATTAGTTTCTGCTGACTGCATTGACCCAACATTTCCAAATGACAAGGCCTTTCTCTCCTTGTTTACTTCCTCCTCTTCTCCCTTCCCTCTGCTCACCCCTTGTGGCTGATGGTCTTGGCCCCCAGTTCAAAGCCCGGCGTCCATCTCATGTCGAATGTTTTATATCACTCTCCACTTTCTCGCTTAAGTGATTTAGCTGCTGCCCTCGCGCGCAGACATGCTTGGCTTTCAAGCAGACACATTATACATCTTTTGTTGGCTTTGTCACGCAAACCTGCGTCAACCTGACCAATGAAATGCTCAAGCTCAGGTCTCCCCGAAGTGATTCAGCATCCATTTTGTCATTGAACTCCCTGTGATGTTCTTGTGGTTGCTGGAACTGCCAATGTGTCTCGATCTCCGTTTCAACTTATTGTTTTGGTTTGCCGGTCCTGAGGGTTGATGTAGGATCGTGGACATCCAGTGTGGCTTGTGAAGAAACTTGTTTTGCAATTAACTTGCAAAAAGGAAATGGCATACTTTCAAGGGTGGTCAGACCACACTGGAGCTACAAAACCAGTAAATATTGAACTTAGAGTCATCAAGTAGCGAGATGGAAGACTCCAATGGGATTCTAGTGTTGCTCTGTTGCTGCTGTGAGATTGTTTTGGAGTCTCTCTGCCCCCTAGTGATCAGAAATCCTTTAATGCATCTTACTGTTTATCTTAAAAGACACTCCTGCTATCCAATTAAACCTTTGATTTTGGAAAATGTCAATTTGTTAATAGCTTTATTTAAATTTGGCAGTTACACCTAACTCTTCTCGGCTTAACATGTTGCTTTCTGCTTCAAATACGTATTGATCAAACACCCATTTGGGCCAATTAGTAAAAGCAAAGGAGATCCAGCAGCACTGTCAAAGTCCTGTGGTTGTGTTTGCATTTCCCTTCCTATTTTTCTCATCACCCATACTGTTTTTCGTGCATTTCTTTTTTTTTATTTGTATATTTTTCTGCCAGACAGTTGAGGCTGAGTGCTGTGAATTCATGGAGCTATTGGCTCTGCTCGGGTCCCTTGGATGGACTCTGTTTGTTTGTGTTGGCCATTATATAACTGCCCGGCTCTCCACAAGAACATGTCAGCTCCCCACACACCCACACCCACACCCACACACACACACCACCACCACAT